ATACGTGGAAGACCAGACGCTCAGCGATCGGACGACTTTACCTGAGTCTTTCACGCGAAGGCCAGAGTCAGAGGAGTTCGAAGTCGAAAAAATAGTCGGTCATCGCAGAGTAGGGAAAAAGGCCACTTTAAAGTATCTGATACGGTGGGCGCACTACGGCCCACAGTTCGACACTTGGAGCACTGCTGCTGATCTGAAGAACTCCCCAACTCTATTAAAAGAATACCACGCTAAAAATAACCTTTGAAGAAAGGTCCGCCATTCCGAACTATGCACCCACTCTCTTTCATTTTCATTCATCATTCATGCCCCCTCCATGCTCCCCTTTCTATACACTGAGTTTTCCTTTCAAATTTTTTTAAATTTTTTTTCTTTTTTTAGAAGCAGCTGAAGCGATCCCACAAACACATGCCAGGCACTCTATCCATCTCATCGATCAGGGACACGTGTTGATACAAAAGTGGGCACCCTCTTCATCCGCTTAGTCCTCCATCTTTCCTGCCCTCACCTTCGTTCGTCGGGACTGTCCACGAGCGAAATACGGGAGAACGACCGATCTTACAGAGGACTGTCTCGTTTGATTTAATCGTCATGGATTTAACCATTCATCACCTTAACCCGATCGCTTCCGCAACCGTCAGATTCGATCGAGACGCAATCTGGGTGGGTCTTAACTCAGACACCTCATTGATTCCAGATGCAGCAATAGTTTTTAGGAACCTACCAGATCCAGGATGGAGCGTGGAGGACTTCTCCGACTCCGGACAAATTTTGCCCATCGATTCAGCCAGAAGCCCCGATTGGTATAGGAACGACGAACAGTGGGCCCCATGGATCCTGACCTCCTTCCTTCTTAATGAACGCCCCTGGTACCACTAGTGGTATACACTCTTATGATAAAAACCAGACACATGCCTGGAAGGCGATGTGTATAATGCCTAGAGGTTCAATGAGACAACTCATTATTTTGTCTAGTATTTTCATTCATTAAGTTCCCTGTGTATTTCATTTGGTTTTTTCATTAAATGGCCTAAGTGATCTCATTAATATTGTATTGCGATTTCCTGCAATATTTCATTCATTATCTCTGGATATCTCATTTTGCTTTTCATATGAAAGCCTGGCGCTTTCAATATATATTTCATTCTTAGCTCCAGGACATTTCATTGGAGTTTTCATATATATATCTGGTGCTTTCATTGGATATTTCATTGTTAGCCCCTGCTTTTCATCTGAATGCCTGGCGCTTTCAATGGATATTTCATTCTTGTTCCTAGGATATTTCATTGCACTTTTCATAGATATACCTGGTGCTTTCATTGGATATTTCATTGCTAAACCCAGGATATCTCATTGTGCTTCTCATTTGGATGCCTGGCGCTTTCAATGGATATTTCATTCTTATTCCTAGGAGATTTCATTGCACTTTTCATATGTGTACCTGGCGCTTTCAATGAATATTTCATTTTTAGTGGCAGCTGACCTTTCAGGGTCCAGGGTGCATTTCCAAATGTAAAATGGCAATAAAATCAGGAAAAATTAGGGCTCATTGCTGATCATCATGTTGGGTAACATTGTCAGGGTCCAGGGTCCAGTTCCAAATATGGTAATATATCCAAAAATAGCCAGAAAAATAGCGGAA